TACGTACTACTACTATATATAATATAATATATATATATATATAATATATATATATATATATATATATATATATATATATGTAGTAACACTGCTGAAAATGGGGAGCAAAATGAGAAATCTATGATTAAAAATATTGATATCAATTTCTTGGAGTCAATTTTAGACACTGGCCCTTGCACGTTGTTGCTTATATGCATTTTGTTAGTTGTTTGTTTCAAAAAATGAGGAAATTTTTTATTTCATCTTTGGAAATTTGTTTCTTCGATTCATTTTCTTTAGTAAGATCGAATTATAAATGGAGTAGAAATGTGTTCAAGGTGGCATTATTCGTAGGATCAATCAAAGTAAGGCTGAGAGGTAAACATCTTTTTAAGGTAAACATCTTTTTTTTTTGAGAGGTAAATATCTTTTTAAGCACAGAACTTGAACAAGAGTACAAAAAGCATTTTTCAAGGATTCTGTTAAAATGGCCCTAATCGTCGAAAACATAACCGACTACAAATGGAATTGAAGTGAGCAGCATGAGCTTCTTTCAAAAGGTCTATCCTTTATTCCAATATGAGCTCGTAACCATGCGGAGACACCACTATATTTGATTTTAGGTCCTATATTAACCCTAGATTTTTCATGATGTTCAAATTTAGTTTTATCTACAATGTGACTGCTGCCTTTTTTGTACTAAGATCTTAAGATGGTTCTATCAATTTGTCCTTCATCTGCTCATTCTGGTCACGATGCTCCATTTTTTTGACTGTTTTAATTTGTTCTATCTGTGATTCCGTTGATCAGCGCATTCTTCAGTAGATTTATCCTTTTGCGTAGATGTCTGCTTTGACTGCGTTATTGTGCTTGTCTTTCGTTTACATTTCAGCTCTAGATTTCAATTTTCATTTTTTTTGAATGAAATTTATTTTTTCACTTACTATTGCAATTCGCTGTCATAGTGCTTATTCTGCCAGTTGCGAACAATTTTTCATATTTTAAAAGAAACGAGTAAGCATTGTATTAAAAAAAACAGGAGGAACAATAATAGCTGCTTTCGAAAATTCATGCCCTGTAATTGTACATATCTGTTGTATATCACTTTTAAACCAAGCATATCCAATTTGTGTTGGGAAGTGCTTGAACGCTGCCGCGAAAGCTTTTCTTGGTATAGAACAAAAAAATGATGAACTGCCAGTCGGTTTTCTTGCTCAAGTCAGGAGCACCTTTATAGCCGTAAACTTCTATGAAGACACATAAATAACATTTCCTTAAGTTTGAATAATTGGTAATGAACATCAGAATGAACGCTTTGCAGTCATACCTTTATGGCTGGCCTTTTTTTTTGCTCATTTTTCACTATTTCTGTTCTATCAGTCTATTTTATCTTGCTAAGGAAATGGCAGTCAAAGATGAAAAATCTATTCCATTTTTCTTTGTCTCTCATTTTTCATTGTTTTCCTTTTTTAATGCATCGGCGAATATCTTCTGCTTGAGTTTCATGCCCGTTTTCCAAATGTAGTGATAATTTAAACTTGTAAATATAATTACTCAGTAAATATGATTCGTTTCGAAAAAATTGGCTTTCACACAGTTCACCTCGCCCGCTTCATTTTTGTTTTGATATAGTGATTGCCAAGATGCAAGATAAGGGTTAGTAATTTACCGTACTATTTAAACATCGTTAAGATGAGATGTAGTACGCACGCTTCAACCTTTATTGAAGCTGTGATGATTATGATAGGGAATTTTATTGTTTCGGTATTAGTAGTACCGCTACACAGAAAATTTGTTGGAAAATTACTGAGTTAAGGTTTTTTGATTTCATATAATTCGGAACAAATCCAGTCTATATCGTACGAGTGCGCGGCTGTTTGTATCACATGATTATACTGCAATGGTGACGTCATGTTTTTCAGCCATTTTTTGCAATCTCTTCCATTTTTCTTCGGTTGCTGTGCCTTGAATTAAATCCTTCAGAATCCATTCTTCCGATATCTCTTCCACTAAAGTTATGGAAGCGATCAATGGCAGCTTTGCCAGATTTATTGATAGATAATATGCGGTGAGATTCAGCGGAATGTGCTGTGCACTGTTGATGCATTATCACGCACCGTAATACTGCCGAACTTTGATAAACAAATTGAAATATGGAAGATGAGGCAAACAATGAATTAATTATAGGGAGGGTTGCGTCATTCATTGCAATAACTTCGTTGTTGAACTTGAGTTTGAAAACTTTGAGAATATTATTCAGGTCTCGTCAAATCGCTTCGTTCAATGCAAAGTTAATCTACGACAAGTCCATGGATTACTCAATATTTAGATTGCTTAATAGTAGCAGAATGAAATGCAAATTAATAATATAGTTTGCTCGAAATTCAATGATTGTATTACCATTCTATGTTTTGATATTACTCAGCTATTGTGACAAAATGAAACGCCTAGTCGAATGTTATGAGAGTAACAAGCATGAATAAAAATGAATAAGTAGACTAGTTAAGATAAAGTAAATAAATAAGATGATTTTTTTGGGTAAACTTTTGAAATTTTAGTTTTACTAAAAGGTATTTTTGATACCTTTGGAATTCTTGTTGCAGCAATCCTCTGCGTTACAGCAGCAAAAATAACCGAAAAAGTTCATGTACTGCACATTATTCATGCAATAGCTTATTATTCCCTCACTAAAGACAACTTTGTCCACACCTTTTGTTTCACTAATCAACTGTAATTTGATCAGATTTTAAGTTCCATTATTAATTTAATCTAGCTGATGTGCTGAATATCCACTTTTTAGCAAAAGCATTCCGTTAATAACGTTTTGCAAAATTGCTACAAACGAGCTAATAGTAATCACAGCTTGTGAGAGTTTTAGAAACTACTGAATTTTTATGATTTGCAATTTGAACTGTGCTTTTTTATCTCTTTTTAGCTAGGAAAAAAAAAGAAATTCGTTAATTTTCGCGATCGATAATATTAATAGTACCTCGCAGAGGAAGGTGTGGTCACAACCCCGTACAGTAAAATTATCTCTTTTGATTGAATTGTCTTTTCTCATGATGAAACAGAATCCAGCCGGTCCACAATTTTCCTCCTGCATTTTATCAAATTGATTCGAGAAGCACTTTATTGCTAATGTTCTTGTCAGTATCATGCAAGTTATGATGGATAGCTGAAAGAGCTGAATGATAATCACAATCGAACTAACTGAATCATGAGGATCGAACAGTACTAGTGATAACAGTAGATCCGACCTTTGTTAAACTACTGATCATGAAGATTTTTATTGATTCATTTTGAAATGAACAAAATCAGTCTGCTTGTAAATTATTCACTGAGCTATATATAGCATGGTGTTACACTGATAATAACTTTTAATTGTAGCTTATCAGTCCTGTTATTTTTAATTGTAGCTTATCACTCCTGTTATGGCTGGTACTGATTATCACCAACTGATCTGTGATGCTGTAGAAGGCCTCGTTTGTTTTACACATATACCACATAAGTAACTACCATATAAGTAATCCAATAACTTACCACATACAGTAACCGACTTTTACTGATAGACTGCAAGTAACTGTTGACAATCATTTCATGTAAGGGAATAAAATATAGTGAATAAAAAACTTTTATACCGTCTTGTTATACCTCCGTTATGGTAATTTCAAGTATTATTCTTATACGATCATTCCATATCTATATCTGCTATTTTCATACATCAGCAGATGTAAATCATGCATGAATCATAATTTGACCCTGCAGGATGCAGTGGGAAAGTTTTCTGATCAGGTTTGTTTTCCTGGAAGGTAATCGACCGACTAACACCAGCTATTGGGGGCTGAATAAAGAACATGAAATTTACATAAATGCGCATTCCATCTTTCTCCCTATATAAAGGTTGAATTTCTGTTTAAGTCAACTTCTGACTCCTGACCAAAGCAGAAAGAGGAGAACGAGAGCTGGCAGAAAATAGTAAAACAGTTCCTGATTGTAAGATTTTAATGGAATATATCCTTCATAACATTTACTAGATCTGATGAATTCCGTTCTCTTCAGGAAAATGAAAAATGAAAATTGATGTAAAAATTTCTTGATCGATGCATAATTTAACTTATTCAGCTCATTTACTTTTCTGTGGGATGCATAGCCATTTTTACTTATTTAGATGCCTAATGGAAGTAACTTTTCTGCTTCCTCCAATTTATATTTGATATAAAACTTATTGCTTAAAAGCTCTACTGTGGTCTTAATTCAGGCAAGGACAACCTGGAATTACAGCCATTTCTCTTTACTAAAATCCTCTGTCATTAGATCAAATCATGCCAAAAAATCTTGTCCTTTTTCTCTTTCTTAGTAATATTTTTTTGTGAGAAGTGATTGCCAAAGAACTTTTAGTTTAAAGTTTCTAACGGAGACATGGTTGTCTTCCAATTAATTTATATTTCAAGCATAGTTTTTTAATAATCTTCTGGGAGGGAATTATTGTATCGAAACCCTAAACTTTCATTCAGTTGGGATCCCAACTTCATCGAAATTCAGTTAGCTATCAATAAGCTATCAATAACCCCAACTGATAACCCCAACATTAATTTAAAGCAATGATGAGAAAAGAAAGATTTTACAGTTAGAGAGTATGCACTAGATCACGTGACGTAATGAAACCATTCAAAAAACAAAACCCTGTTGGACCATTTGTGGGGTTCGTTTTACAAAATTTAGAATTATTTACTAAAGAATGAAATAATCAAAACTTTTCGAAATTTCTCCGAAACATTTTATTAAGTTAAAGGAGACAGCCAAAATGTTCAAAATGTCCTAAGCACATTTTGGCTCATTTTCGAAAAGTGCTTCATTCACTTTGTAATTCTGAAAGGAAACAGTAACTTCAATACTAAAGAGCAATGAGACAGCAGAAGATATCCTCTATCTGCAGTATTGAAAGTCTTTGTAAAAAAAAAAGAAACAAGACCTCACTGTTGCAATTAAAAGAAAATTTGAGGAAAGTGGTAGTAAAAGCGAATGATAACCTTCTGTCGGAAACTTATTATCATGGTATTGTTAATTGTGTCGATGTGGGAAAATTGTTGATAAGAGATGGAGATTTTCTGTTGGGTATTCCGGAAGAAGACGAAGAAGAGGTGCTAATTTGAAGATATCAAACAAGGATTCTTTGTTAAAGCTTTTAAAATAACGAATGCATTGTAGTCGATTGTATGGGTGGTGCGTTATAATCGTGATCTATGGGCATTTAATATTGGTCTAACCGAAAAGGGTCTATTTTTCGTGAATCACAAATGCTTCAAAAAAATTAGCGAAATGATCTCAGATTATGTTCGCACACGTAAACCAATTCATGAAACGCAGCCCATCGTTGTAAAGCGACCTGTTCCTCATCCGGTCAGTTATATCCATTTGATGTAAATACTGTAACAATATTTAATACATAACTAAACTGCGTAATTGTAATAAGAGAGCCGTGACGGAAGTTTAATTATACTCACAAATATGTGAGTACTAAAATGAGGTTGCAGGACTGCCTTTTAGGCCTGGGTAGTATCACACGATCGAGTACGTCTGAAAGATGAGCTTGGTCAAGGGGCATTTGGTCGTGTGTATAAAGGTGTACTACAAGTTGGTCATACTTACATGACAGTTGCTGTGAAAACATGCGCTGGACAAGCCAGCGATAAAACTAAACGAGCTTCATTCCTTCAAGTATATTTGTATTGTCATATATTTCATGAATTTTTAGTTATCAATCTCCAACTACTGCGATAATTAGTAGTAATTATACATGTTCTTCTTTTCAAGATCTATTCAGTTCGAAAAAATTTGCGAGAAAGGATAACTTTACTCACTGAACTTTCCACTATCATCAGATAAAACCTTAGGAAAAGATTCCTAGTAAAACGAAAAGTTGAGAATAGCCGAAAAATATAAATTTTCAGTAACAATTCAATACAATTCTCTTATCATCTGCATTAATGCATTCAGTTTCACAAATGGTTGAAGAAAAAAAAAAACTAGGGCATCTGGATGCCCGAATAATCTTTAATATTCGGAGGAGAATGATAAAGATGAAGTAAACGCTGTAGTTAATAATTTCGTCTTTATTCAAGGAAGTCTGGACTAACAATTTCATTTTCGTGAAGTCTAGTATTACTGGTTACAGGAAGCCAAGGTTATGAGGGACTATAAGCATGAGAATTTGGTGCAGTTTATTGGTATCGCATGTCAGAAAGAGCCATTGATGATAATTGTCGAATTCTGTGGTGGCGGATCCCTATTAAAGGTTGCCGGAAGCGTTCGGTGCTTTGATCTCTGAAGATGTAATAGTCAGAAAGATGTCACAGCGATAAGGTTAAGCGATACAATGAGTTTTCAGGAATAAAAAAAGAACGTCGAAATTTCTTCAAAGCTCCTGAGAATGAGATGGATCAAAAAGGTGTTTTATCTATTTCATTCCTAGTGGTTTTAAATAAGTTTCCAAGATTTTAAAGAAGTTTTTAGTATTTACGAAATAAAGGAGCGCATCTCGGAATAGCAACCAGATATCGTTTTGGTAAGGAAGCATCGGCTGGTCTGAAATATTTGGAGGAGAAAAGATGTATCCATCGAGATGTAGCTGCTAGAAATTGTCTTCTTACGGAGCATGAATTAGCGGTTCGTGTTTGTTCGAAAAGAAAATAAACATAAACGGGGGAATTTGATTTGAAATTTAATTAAGGTTGCTTTCCTTGCTGTTCTAAAATTTAGGGGAAATTCTTCAAAATCTCTCTTTTCCCATCCATTATGAAGGCTACTGTATCTTCGGTTCAAAAATCCGTTTCGAAAATTTTCCTTTCCACCACCACTTTGCCCTAAAGTTTGTTCTCAACTCGTGCAGCTGGATTGCAGGAATTATTTTTCATTCAGTTAAAAATATGCGATTTTGGATTGTCGATCAAGGAACAGCAAGTTTCCAATTCCGAAATACAGTTGCCGACAAAATGGCTTTCACCGGAAGCAATTAAATCAATGCAATTTACCACCAAAAGTGATGTTTGGGCATTTGGTGTACTGTTGTTCGAGATATTTACCGATGGCAGCGAACCATATCATGGTCATTCATCAGTCAATTGACCGATAACTGAGGGGAATTATTAGTGTCAACACAAAACAGCGAAAAGCTTACTAGCCATGATTAGAAAACTGATAAGAACAAATTAAGAATTTCCATTAATTTATGGAAGGTAAAAGATGTCATTTTCTATGCAAAAATTCAAGAGTTATTCCTTCATATAACATTAAAGAACATTCCAAGAATTGGTCTTTTCCTAGTATTTTATACCCAGTGTGCTCCATATTGTGTAACGCTAACACTAAATTTCTCTAAATTTTAAAATTCAAAGTTTGTAAATTATGTGAGTACTATCAGGTATGAGTAATGCAGAAGTGCGAGAAAAATTAACTGATGGGAGCAAGTATCGAATGGAAATACCTCTTGACGTACCGCCGGGTATCATGGAATTGATCAAAAAGTGCTGGATGGAAGAACCAAAGCAAAGACCAACATTTAAAGAGATTAATCGGACACTTACCAAAATAGCATTTGTTTGAAAGCAGTGGTCACATGCAGTAATTAGCTGATATTAAGTAATTAAATCAAAATGCATGTTAAGCAGCAGTTTACTTGTTTTACTCTCCGAAGCGATTCGTCTACTTAATGGTACCTACTTGAACGACGTCCTCTTTATTTGTTTGCTCAGTTTTCCCTATCGCTAAGGACGGAAAGCAAAACGGGTGCTTCTTTTCATCATATATCATCCTAAGTACCGATATTACTACCCTGACGTTATTGTCAGGTACAAAACAAATGGAGGTCAAATTTAAATAAGTAAACTTATATCGTAATAAAGTTTGGAATACATGAATTGACGCATAAAAGCTTTGACCGGACCACAGATGTGGAGAGTTCCAGATATAAACTTTAAATAAATTCCTTGAACTTTTCTGGCTCAAAGAGAAAACTGATAAGAACAGTACAGTCAATAATAAAGTGATGATATACTTCAGGATCTTCACCTTTTCAAGCCTTAGTAAAGGGAGCAAAGTTTGATAATAGCTGAAGAAATTTTAAACCAGATGTGGAATAATGCCACCTGTTGATAAGTTGATATCGAATGAACGATTGAGCAATGTGGTATGAAATGAAATGCTCTAAGAGCTGGCATTTTGATAGTAGGGACTAACGACGATCGCAATCAGAGGATGATGGCAGACATCATTGACACCCGACCCAACAATCTTGATAACACGACTACTACTGATGTTCGGTGTTCTGATGAATTTTTTCGATCTCAATTGAAAGTTCCTTGATATGCAACTGGAACAAAAGTGAAGAGTACATAAATCCCATCTACTCCCGCCTTCTACCTCCCGAACCATCTGATGTAAGCAAAAAGGAAGAGATCTAGAAATTGCATTTTGACTCTGCCCACAGGACATTTTACCTGTCAGAAAAGAAACGTGTGGAACATAGGGGTGATAGGATTGTGGATTCGGGCATAAATGGCTACATTGGAATATGAAGATTACATGTCACGTTAAGAATTGAAAAGTAATAGGTTATGTTAAGCGTCTTTTCCTTCCAAATTGGACATGTTGGTATACGCTAAATGGTAGAGCAGTAAGTGTGAAATAGTGTACTCTGCTTTTCAATTTAATTAATTTTTGGAAGGAAATAAATAACCTTCAGATTTGTTTACCACAATTTGGCTCTGTAAGCAGAATGGATTTTCAACTGATGGAGAAGGATATGTATGGCGATGTGGAAAACGATGAAGAACTGATGACCGAATTATTAGCTTTAGAAGCAGAAGAACGAGCTGCTGGACATATGCCTTCAGTATGCACGGATGGTACACGTGAATGCACCACAAATCAACATACCATAGGTTTTACTTGAGAATTCTTTCACAGGGTGTATGAGTTTATGAAACATCTAATTAATTTGAATCCTTCATAAACTTAATTTGAAGCATAAGACAAAAGCTGAAGCTGAAGGAGAAAGACTGACTGACTGAAACAAAGTTTAGACATTCACTACTTTGATGGCTAGCACATTAAGGCTATGTCATAAAAAGCAGTTTATAGTCTCGTTTTTTTTCCAGTTTATAGTCTTACTATTCCAAGGAATCGGATGACCGGATGGTCTTGGTGCGGAAAACATAGACTTTTTGCAAATAGTCTATTATACATAGTAAAAGCAGTGCATGATCACAGGTCCTCATGAATCAGCTGCACAGCCTTCACAGCGAATGAGCGGCGCGTATGGCATTTCAAGTATATCAGATGCATCAGATGAAGATTTGGATAATAATGATGAGGAGGATGTGAACGATCCAGAACTTCTAGTATGCATTGAAACTTTGTGGTTGTCAGCAGTTCACAGCATATTTTTATTTATCTTGATTGTTCATCCATTTCACAGGCATCAAGTTATTCAACGCTATATCAAAATCAAAATGATTTAAGGCAGAACTTTCTGATTTGGTTGGACAGGAGGATGGTGCTGCTTGTGAGATTGAACCACCAGCATCTTCTAAACCGCTTGTTCCTTCAAGATTTTCATATGAATCTGCTGCTGACACGGCATTACTTCGTAAGTTGCAAGAACTTAAGGAAGAATATACTTCAGCGCTGGAAGCTGCGAAGGAGGAAAAAGATCTTTTGCGCACCAAAAGGTAGTAGTATTATTGTTTATCCTTTTTTTAAAATATTTATCAGCTATAAGCAACATTTTTTACCGTTTTTATCAATATTGCTATTGTTGTTCAGCAATCCATAAACTTTTTTCGTTTGAAGTGATTAGAAAATTATTACTTTGTCGTCATTTCGTAAACTGCACACAAATTAGGAATTTCGAGGGCTTTGAAATATTCCATGGAAATATTGCTTCCTCACCTAGGTACCAAAGGGGATGTCGCAAGATCGAAGAACTGTTACAGAAGGTGCAAGCAAGAAAAGTAATAGATGAGAATGACATTCCAGTTTCAATCAGAGCAATTCGTTCTGAACTGCATGCAACGGAAGCTGACTCTTCAGTCATTTCCAAACTGGAGGTAATTTTTCACTCTCAAGAAATTCCGAAACTTTGCTCTAACGTTTGGTTCAACGCCTGGATAGCTACAGGTAGCTAAAATATTAAAGATTTTTTTGTTAGTGGACGCGCAGTATCATGTAACAACTCATCATAAAAGCTTTTGGAATTGGCGGAAAATCGTTCTCCATGTTTGATGCAGTACATTTTATGTTTGTCGTTTCTATCAAGCAGTTACACTCGAACAGTTTGGTTGGTTAAATTTGGGTTGAAATGCAAACTTGTGCAATGTTTTTGTGTTTGAAGGTATCCGCAAAGCCACTACTGCCACCTGAAGTAAAGCAGGTCACTGCGGAAGAAACCAGTAAACTATCTAACACTTGTCAAAAACCAATTAAGAACTTATTGAAAGGAGAACAGCTAAGAGCAGAATTAACTAATCGTCGAGAATCCTATATCAAAAACGCCAAAGCAGCTAATGCATGTTAGTTCATTTTAGAGAGATTTTTTCTCCATATTTCCGAATACTTACTGAGTTATGGATCTTGTGCATTTTGAAATTTATAAAATTTGGTTGTAGTAGGTGACAAAAAAGAAGCTTATGAATATTACGTGGTTGCGAAGCAGTTCGATGAAGCAATTAAAGCTATGAATGATGGGCAGGTAACAGAATGTGAGGAGAATGAACTTCCACCTCCGGCCACCCCCTACAGATCAATCAAGGTTAATTTATATCCGAAAGTGAATATAAGATATGAAAGAAAATAAGTCGATTTGTGTCACTATTATTTGTAATGGAATGTTTGAAGTATTGTGTCTTATATGATGAACTAAACGTTTGCTCAGATACTTCCATACAACCATCATAAAATAACTCTCTCGCTGGAAGAGAAAAATTATGGTCCTAGACGATCATGAGAAGCCAAAAAAACTAGCATCTTATATCTTACCTCGTGGCGAAATAATAACTTCTTTCTTTCTGGCTCTGAAGTTCCAAATATACGGCTTTTTTTTGACTGCTCATGTAAGAGTTAGATTCTATTCCTCATCCAGTAGGAATTTGAACCCTGGAATTTATTAAGCAGTTAACTTAGATGGGAAGCATAAAACAGTTGACGACTTACAGTTTTGGAGAGATTCATCCATTTTTCTTCTATTCCTCGACCTGTCATAGGTTATCCGTATAAATAAATTCACATTACACTACTTGTAAAAAAAGTTTTATAAGATTCAGCAGTTCTCCTAGTTTTTAATGGCTTTTTATAAGATTCAGCAGTTCTCCTAGTTTTTAATGGCTATGTTAGCGAAAGAACTGAAGAAGTAGAAGTTTGCGTTTTTCTGCTGTTTTAAATTACCAAGTCGAAAATGAGGGAATCCGTAATGCTAAGTTGAGAGCTGATGTGAGACAGATACAATATAGAAAGATATATAATTGTGTCCTGTGTAGTACAAAAACTTTAACTGACATGTTGGGCACTGAAATACCTAAAAGGGCTAGAAATCATGTGTTATTTAGTTTCTTTCCATAAGGAATGACCTGTTAACGTTAAATAAAAATAAGGGATTGTTGAAGCATGAAGAAATTTTTCCTCCTCCAAAGACGCTACTAGACGAACTGCAGCAGCGCATGCAGAAATATAAAGCTTTATGCGATCAAAACCGAGTTGAAAGTGATGATCGAAAGTACAGGTGTCTTTTTGATGAATTCTGGCTGGTTAAATTTTTTCATATCTTTTTGAGATGTGGACTGCTGTTGTGATTATTTGCTTATATCTGTAGTCCTGCAAGTAGCGTAAGTAATGTACAGTTCTTTTTCTTTTTGCAGTTGTCATTTTACTTTAACTTTTGACCAGCTAGGCTTGCAGAATGAATGCTCGTATTTTGAAGCGATATGAAGATGCGCTTAGAGCTTGTCGTTCAAATAGACCAGTCGATATCAATGGACTGCCGTGTCCTCCTGGATATCCACCTCTTGCTCTAAACATGACTACTAGCGCAAGTAATTTTCTGCATATTTTTCCTTAGATTCATACCGTTTTAGCTTCTCTTACTTTCATAATGATGAGCACAGTATTTATTTGAACTAAATGAAATTTGAGATGGAATAGTAATGTTACGAAGACCTCTACCTGAAGTGGGACCGTTTGTTGCATCTGAGCCGTCAGTGTCAGGAAGACAGTCACGTCAGAAGCAACAGCTTGACTTTCTGCTCAGACGACAACTACAGTTCAAGGAAGTTGCTATTGCTGCAAAGAAAAAGGGTGACATGACTACTGCCAAAAAGTTTTTACTTGCTGCAAAGGTGTTTTTCACATTCTGACTTAAATTTTGTAGGTTAGAAGTCATACATTTCGATAACATCAAATTGTATTTTTAACGTTCCTAATACCAAAACCTTGTTAGGGGTTAAGTCCTATTACGTTTTAAAAGTTAAGGATTTGGTTTGGGAGTTATTGCGAGGTTTCAGTTATGTGGATTGAAAACTGAGGATTCCTTAGTAATTTTTCAGCTGCTACTTAGTTTAATACCTAGTTTTTATTATTAAATACTCGTCTTTAGGGTTTTGATAAAATGATTTCTGCCTCGAGAAGTGGTTTACCTATCAATATTGAGAAAATACCCGTTCCACCGCAAGTCCGAGCATCTGCAAAAGCGCTCAAGTCATCATTAGAGTATCACACAAGTTTCGATGCTGCTATTAAAGGTGCGTGGATGGTTCTCAATATTGCACTTCTTTTGTTATATTATCTCTGCATATCATTTATGAATATGTCCAATAGAGATCATTTCTATACTGCAGGCACACCTACTGAAGTATTTGCCACATTGGAAAAGGATCTCATTTATCAAGTAAAGCTTTGCGAAGAATATAGACTTGCTTTTACACAGTTAGTTTTTGCTTAGCTTGTACCTAAAAGTTTGGCTTTTACCGTAATTGGATTTACACGCTGCAGATCAACAACGACAACTATAATTATGTCCATTTCAATTATCAGAAATAGATTTAAAATGGTTAAACCATAAGTTGTTATTTTAACTTCAACTGATATTAATCATTTTACGTTTTTAATGATGGACTTTCTCTATATCACTAGGAATTCTCTATCGAATTATGTCGTTATAGATCTGTTACACTTTCTTAGATTGGGTGATGTAACTCGAGTAAACATGTTTGAAGCCTGGTCTGCCATTTCGAAAAGAGACTTAATACTTTTACGCGAACTTGCCAAAAGGAATGCAGCTGTGCCACAGTAAGAAATTGTTACAAAAATTAAATTTCCTCGATTTCATTTCGATTTCGCGATTTCTGTAAGGTTTATCATTTTCTTAAAGGTTTCGATACGAAACTCGAGACATACCCTCGGTCGAAGTGTGCTTGGAAATAGATGAGCATCACATCGAATTGGCAATAATAAAAGTAACCGAAGCAAAGTTACCGGCAGGTTCCTGCTCATTATTTTTCCTATATAGTGCTATATTCCTTATTTGAATAATTTCAAGAGGAAGTACTTTTTAAAGGATGTAGTGAGTAAGACCTTTTTTATTAAATCATGTCCGTGTGCATTTTTTGTAGCAATACTTTCTGCACTTATTTTTTTCCATGTTAGGATGAATTTTAAATGGAGTGGTGTTATAATTCCTGAAATGAGATATTTTTTTGTTGACGATACTAGTCGTCTAATATTGCTCGAAAATCATCTTCACTTGTGCTTTAACATTAACCATTGCGATATCGCTAGAACAGATTTTCATGATTAAAAATGCTAAAAGAAAAATGTTCCAGGTTGGAAATCATCTGACGGTTATCTGTTTGTAAAGTATAATTTTGCATTTCCCCACGACGCTCATCAAACTGGTAGAACTAAAGTCATAGCTGCCACGAACTCACCAGGTATTCTTCGTATGCTTACCACTTACAAACTTTGCAATAGTGATTACTTTGAGTAATTTATTCCTTTACTGTAAAATGTAGACTAGCACATAATGAAATATGAGTTATTTTATTGCTGTGATACTTTTTGATAGAGAATATTTTTATAGCTTGCGTGGAATATGTAAACGATCAAATTGTAGGTGGAAAATATTTTCTTTTCCTGGTTTCTCATCATTTTTTTAAAGCTTATTTCGTAATTTTCGCTTCATTTTATCGTTATTGTTAACAATGTAATGATGTATCATGTTCTCATCTTGCCGAATGTTTTGATGTGCAGTTATTTGTATGCTGTCATCTTTGCTCATGATCAAAAAATAAGAATAGTGTTGCAATTTTCGGAGAAACAAGATCAGGAAAAAGAAAAACTGGGCAAAACGAGAGGAGTAGAGAAAAGGGAAAATACGAGATAAAAGAAAAAGAATTTATTATCACTACTAATATACACTATTGCATTCTTTAGTATAATTTATTTTCTTACTTTTTTTTTTTGTTTTTAAATCTTTGTTTATTTAGGTATATATTTTGCCTCTTGTTTTTCTAGAATACAATCAAAAATTCCTGTTAACAATCAATCGGAAAACGAAACAGCTGCAAAGAATCATTAAAAGGAACTGTTTGAAATTTGAGGTTATTTGAGGATCAAATTGTCATATTGATATTTTCAATTATGTAAACAAATGGACTTTTTTGTCTGTTTCATTAGCTGTACAATCGCATCGAAAAAAAGAGGACTTGAACACAAGAGAAGTTAGAAATAAAACAATCGATTTTCTAACTTGCACATCATGGAAGCAAAACTGCTTTTATAGGCTTCCCGTATAGATAATGATTTAATATACTAATAGAGGACTTGTGTTATGGCTTTTGCAGTCATTTTTTCAGGTTTACCAAAAAGGTGGCTTTTTGAGGAGTGACAAATTGATCGCCACAGCCGATTGTAAGTTGATTGATTTGGAAGAAAAAGTACACATCCACGAAAGTATAGATCTGTTGGAAGGACGGAAGCAAACAGGAGGAAAATTGAATTACCGGGTTATTCCTTACTTATTTTTGATTAATTTAATCATACGTTTTCAGACAAACCGAAAGCAGAATTGCGCATCCTTTTAAGGAATGGCATAGTGTTTTCAGATTAGATTTAATTAATTTGACCATTTCTTAGTAAAATTCCAGGTACGTGTTCGCGAGCCTTTGGGTGGAAAGAAGCTCTTAATAATGCAAAAAAAATGGTTAATATTAGAATCGTAATCTTAAAACAAAGGACGACTGAATGTTTGTTTTGAATAATTTACAATTAGCAATTAGACTTGATGTCGTAAATTTTATAGAGTTACAGTTTAAATTTTACGGGTTTGTGCAGCGTTATGCTGCATGGACGACTTTTATAAGAGGTAGTTTGATGAATTGTAAATACTTTATCACCTTAGCTTATCTTTTGTTGATGTCTGCATGAATCCTCTTGTTGTAGTGAGATTTCACGCGCTGTGCGACCGATCAGTTTAAGTAATTTCAATTGGAAATTACTTACCCTTTCATAATAGAATCAATGATATAGCTTACCCTTTCATTCTTTTACCTTTACATTATTTATTTGTAAATATTTTCCATATTACACTATTACTGTTACTGTTATATATATATATATATATATATATATATATATATATATATATAT